ACCTTAACTGGAATTCTTCAATTCTTCACATAGCTTTGAGTTACCATCTAGTTTCCTTTCTTTTCAGCCTGAAAAAACTCCTTTAGTCTTTCTTATAGGACAGATCTATTAGTAGTGGACTCCACTGGCTTTGGCTTATCTGAGAATCTTATTTCTATATTTATAGAGGGTAATTTTGCCACAAACAGAATTTTTGACTGACAAATTTTTCTTTCAGCACCTGAAAAGATATCATCCTACTCACTTCTGGTCTCTGTGGTTTCTGATGAGAAATCAGCTGTTAATCTTACTAAAGATCACTCTACACAAAAAGTCACTTTTCTCCTGCTTTCAGTATTACCTTTTTTTTTTTTTGACAATTTAAATAAAATGCATCATAGTGTGGGTCTCTTTGAGTCTAATCTTACTTGTAAGTTTGAGCTTCTTGCGTCTGTAGACTCATTTTTCAGTAAAGTTGGGGAGTTTTCAACCATCATTTCTTTAAACTTGCTTTATGCTCATTTCTTTCTTTCCTTTGGCAAGGCCTATTAGTGTATGCTGGCATGCTTGATGGTTGACCTTTCTTCATTCTTTTTCTTTCTGTACCTCATCTGAATCAATTATCGTATGTTTAAGTTCTTGGAGTCTTCTGACTGTTCAAATATATTGTTAAACCTCTCAGGTGAATTTTTGATTTCAGTTATTATACCTTTCAGCTTTAAGGTTTTAGTTTTGCTTCCTTTAACAATTTCTGTTTCTCTGTTGAGACTGTATTTTTCTAATTTCTTTTTATACATTGTAATTTTTTGCTAAAAACACATCATCTGGAATATTTTAATGTGGTAACTCTGGAAATGAGTTTTACTCCCTGCAGTTGTCTATTTATAATAGCTTGGAAAACTCACTGAAGAAACAGAAAAAGCTACATTCCTTGTAATGTTCAGTCCCTACACACTGGTCCATTCACTGATGTTTAGCTAGGGAATTGACAGATTTCCTTAAATGCCTGAAGCCAAGAAGAAAAACCCTTTAATACTCTCCTACTCTTTGCACCTCGGCCCTGAGCTAGAGCACGTCTTCAAGACTAAAACAGACTACCTGACATCCTGCCTTTGAATTTACCTCCTGCGTCCAGAGTCCAAACTGGCCAGAGGTGATAGCATAGTTCTTCTGGGGTCTTTTCAAGTCTATAGTCAGTTCATTGGCATTAAGTGCAGTCACAGTATTGTGATAGCACTGTTGTCTAGTCCCAGAACTTTTACATCCTCTCAATCAGAAACCTGTACCCTTTAAGATGTCACTCTCCACTTCCCTCCCTCAACTCCTGGTGACGCACTACTAATCTGCTTCTGTTTCTATGTATTTATCTATTCTGGATATTTCTTAAAAGTGAAATTATAGGCTCTGTGACCTATGTGTCTGAACTCTTAAACTTAACATTTTTCAAGTTCATCTACATCTACATTATAGCAGACTTTTTTTTTTTTTAAAGATTTATTTATTTGTACATACAGAACTGGGGTATAGGCCAGAGGCGCAGGGGCGGCGAGAGGCTTCACCAGAGACAGAGTGGGGAGCAGAACAGGCAGATCAATGAAGTACACTGCTGAGGGGAGCAGCGGGCGGGTCAGGAGAGGTCTGCCACGCCATGTGGTCACCTCTGGGGCAAGCGGGAATCGAACTCATGTGGAAGTGGCTTTGGCTTCTTAGTGCTGTGTTTTAACCCGCTGCGCCACCAGGGAGGGCCCAGACTTTTTTTTTTTTTTAAAGATTTATTTATTTGTTCGTACAGAACTGGGGTACAGGCCACAGATGTGGAGAGTGAGAGGATTCACCAGAAACAGAGTGGGGTGTAGAACAGACAGATTGATGAAGTACACTGCTGAGGGGAGCAGCGGGCGGGTCAGGAGAGATCTGCCACACCTTGTGGATCTCCTCAAGGGGATAGAACTCATGCAGAAGTGGCTTAAGCTTCTTTGTGCTGTGCTTTAACCCACTGCGCCACCAGGGAGTGCCACTTCATTCCTTTTTATTGCTGAATAATACTACATTATATGGATCATACTTTTTCTGTTCATCATCTGGTAGACATTAGAGTTTGTTGTAATATTGACTATTCAAATAATGCTATTGTGAAAATCTGTGTACAACTTTTTGTGTGAACAAATACTTGCAATTTCCACAGAATTCAATATATAAATAGCTAGATCACTTGACAATCTTTAATTTTTAACATTTTGAGGAACTGGTTTTCCAGTGTTGTTATATCATTTTATAGTCCATTTCACAATGGATCCGTTTATAATTTCACTTCTTCACTAGTTTTGTTCCACCCTTTTTACTTGCTATTGAGTCTGAAGTGGTGTCATTGTAGGTTTTTTTTTTTAAAGATTTATTTATTTATTCATAACTGGGGTACAGGCCCAGAGATGCAGAGGGTGAGAGGATTCACCAGAGACAGAGTGGGGAGCAGAACAGGCAGATCGATGAAGTACACTGCTGAGGGGGGGAGCGGGCGGGTCAGGGGAGGTCTGCCATACCATGTGGTCACCTCCGGGCAGGCGGGGATCGAACTCATGGGGAAGTGGCTTCAGCTTCTTAGTGCTGTGCTTTAACCCGCTGCACCACCAGGGAGGGCCCAGTGCCATTGTGGTTTTGATGTGTATTTCTCTGGTGAATCATGATGTTGAACATCTTATTTGTTAGTCTTCTGTGTATCTTTTTTGAAAGAATATCTATTCAAGTTCCTTGCTCATGTCTTCATTGGGTTGTTTTTTATTGATTTGTATACTGCAGATTATATCATCTGGGTAATAGCTCCTATTGGGAACATAATTTGTCAATACTTTCATCCTTTGAATTGTCTTTTTAGTTTCCTTTTATGTGTCCTTTAGTGCACAAGATTTTAACTTTGTTAGAGCCTCACTTATCTATATTTTTCCCATTCATTTATATTTTTTCTTTTTATTGTTTATGCTTTTGGTATCACATTCAAAAAACCATTGCCAACATTTAAAAAAAATTCAAGGTCATTACAGTTTTGTCTCTGTGTTTTTCATTAGAGTTTTACCATTTTAGCTATTAAAATTAGGTCTTTGATTCATTGGTTAGATTTTTTGTAATATAGAGTAAAGTAAGTGTCCAACTATTTGTTTTATGTGTGGCTATCCAATTGTCCTAGCTCCATTTGTTAAAGAGGTTGTTCTTTCTACAATAAATGGTTTTGGTACCCTTACTGAAAATCATTTGACCATAGGTATTTGTTTTTTTTCTTGGATTCTCAGCACACACATTTTTGATGCTTTAACTTTTTTTAGTTATTATTGTTTAAATATAATCTGCTCTACTGTTGCACCTTACTTCTAGCAATTCAGCATGTTCCATTTAAGTCCCAATGTTTCATTACAGAAGTGATCCTGAGGGTGAGGGTGAGGAGGAACAGGGGACATGGTTCTTCTCTCTGCCACTCCCTCAGGGTTTCTGTCACTCACTGCTATTAAGAATGGCTTACTTTAAATTAACTCCATCAAAATGAATGCCCACTTTCCGACAGTTACATATTCCCAAATGCATGTTTAATCTATACACAAAAAAACATTTATTGCCTAGTTTTCATTTTGACTTGTATTTTCCAAACATGAGAACCCTACTTTGAAAAATATAAAATATAAATCATTCTGTGATTGGCTTTATAATTTTATGCCCCCTAAACGTATTGACACTTTTGTTTACACTTTGCTTAAAAATAGCCCATCATCCTGTTTTTCATTTTTAACAGCAGTAACCTGTCACCCTGAGACATAGAGACGTTTACTGTAGCAGCTGATCACAGCATAAACTAGTACAGAACCAGAGCAGTGACCAGTTTCCCTGGCAACAAGCTCTACTCATCAAGACAAATCCCTCTGGCTCAGTCTCCCTAATTGCTTTAAACAGCTCTCTCTGGCAGAGAAGTCACAAAGCAGAGTGCACAGTTAGAATAGCAATAAATGAATATAAAGAAAGAGAAAAATTGTAAAGGGAAAAAGACGCTGATATCTTTCATTGCAGCAGAAGTGACACGTACCAAAAATTAGTTTTATTATTTTGCCTATAAACATCATTTTGATAATGCATCATTTAATCAGTAATTGGCTTATAATGAAAGTAGACGCTTGGCTTTTCCTTAGTCTTTCAACGCTGCCTTGTTAGTTTCCCTTCAGAATTTGTTAAGCCTAAATTCATTGTCCTTTGTTCGTCTCTGTTTATACTCTATCAGTTATGTTAATTTTTCTAAAGCAAACATATTAAATTCTTCATGTTAATTTAATTCATTAAATTCTTGCATTATCTGAGAGACATTGAGACATTGTGCTTGGCATAAAAAAGTTTCCTGTTTAATTGAAGTAATGTTACTAATCTTAAGTGCAGTTCTGTAAACGATACTCCAGAGTCCTTTTTATGAGCCTACACCAAGCCCTGTGATAATCTGGCTTCTCGAAGCTCCATGTGTCAAAGCACTGTACTTCCTGTTGCTGTCCTGGCAGCACTGTGATAGCAGAGATGATAGAAATACGGTGCTGTTGGCTTATTTAGCATTTAGATTTTGTATGGTCATTATAATGTATTAATTACCCAGTGACGAGTTACATTAAAGAGTACATGTACTGAGAAATTTTTTTTCCCTTAATCACATATTTGCTTTCAGAGTATAAGAAATCAGGCTTAAAACAGTTTTCAAAATTGGAACCTAACAATTCATTATTATTCTGTTGTTCTTTGAAACGTTTTGTGCTGATCTGACAGTGTTTTCAAAATGTGTTCATCTCTCATTGCCAATGGTAGCAGCACCACCCCATGAATACTATGTTCTATTTGGAGAAAAGGTCCAGAGTGTGCCCTGAAAGTTTTACTTTCAAGATACTTTATTTCTAGTAAATGTAGAATACTTTCAATACTGTAGATACTTTGTTTCTAGTACGTGTAGATGCTTATAAATTTAGGCAATACTAAATATGTTTCGATTATTTTTCTCTCTATAGGGCATCACATTTGATGAATTCAGGTCATTTTTCCAGTTCCTGAACAACCTAGAAGACTTTGCAATAGCATTGAATATGTATAACTTTGCAAGTCGTTCTATAGGGCAAGGTAAGTCATAATCTTTCAAAAAATGAAAGCAGAAAATAATCCTACATTGTTTCTAAGGACCTTCATAGATTAAATAGATATAACAGATTTGCATCAGCTTCTCTGAAAGTTAAGCGTTTAGTAATTTGGACAGGTATCTTATTTCCCATCTGAATTTTACGTTTCTTTAGAATGTATTCATCTTAATAACTTGTAAAGTGTCTGTTGCTGGTAATAGTTGTTCAGTAAAGTGAATGCATTATTAACTATAGATAGAACTACCTCTTAGCCATATTAGTTAAAATCATAAGAAATTTTTTTCCTAAAAAAAGTCATCATTAATGAAAAGTCGTGTCTTACATACAATCATGACCACTGTTTAAAAAAAAACTTTTATAACCTTTCTAATTATTAATACATATTGTAAAAACAATATTAATATTCTACTCCTTTTCTGTAACATTTATCTAGATGAATTTAAGCGTGCCGTCTATGTAGCTACTGGTCTCAAACTTTCACCACATTTAGTGAACACAGTCTTCAAGATTTTTGACGTTGACAAAGATGATCAATTAAGTTATAAAGAATTTATTGGAATTATGAAAGACAGACTCCATAGAGGATTCCGGGTAAGTCTAGAAATTTCAAGCCTATTTATATTCTTTTGAAAATCTAAAAGAAAAAAAAGTTAAGTTCAGAAATAGTTACATGTTTTTAAGGCGATAAACATGAAATGTTATATTGAAAAGAAAAAACATGATGCCCTTCCTGCTTTCAAAAACAGCTTGAGGTGATAAAAGATAATGAATGTGTTAGAAAATATAAAAACCATATAAAAACCATGTTAAAGTCAATAGTTTGCATATTCAACTAGTTGATATCTTCATCCCAATTTTGTGGGGGAAGGAGTGCCAAATTTTTTTGATTGACTCAATCTATATACACTGGCTGTTCAGACTACTAGCATTAGAAAAAAAATACCACTATTCATCATCTAATGTGACACAAGCTTCCAATAAGCAACTTGAATCTCTTTAATCACTGCACATCCAATACTTTTTAAGTAGAAAATAAGGGGGGGGGAAATGTTTTTGTCTGCTAGTATTTTATACTGCAAAATCGTTCTTAGAAATTAATTATATTTTTCTTTGAAATGTGCTTTAAAGAGTGAAATATAACATAAATCAATAAGTGCTTACACATCTAACATTTTTGTGAATGTGCCCAAATGGAAAAAAATATTTTCCATTAAAATTAGAATATTCAAGTTTATCTCTTTGGTAGAAATACTAAATATTATATATTTTTAAATAGAAATATATATATATATATATATATATCATAGATACCAAGATTCAACTTAGACAATGTTTAAGATTTTTAATGAATTTTTTTCCTAATCCAAGCTGTCTTCATAAAGACAGCTATACTTAACTGCCACCTAGTGGCTACTTGTTAATATTTGCTATAATGGCACAAATAAAAGATGCATATCACTTATTTTTCCTAAAAAACTTTATAGTAGAAATATTAAATATAAACTGTGCTATAAGCTGTATTGCTCTCTTAGATGTTATGTGGTTTTATTTTATCTTTATTTATATATCTGTTGCAAACCTAAGTATGAATAATATTTTACTCACACATGTGCACATTGTAATCTTATTCACAGGGTTATAAAACAGTTCAGAAGTACCCCACTTTCAAATCCTGTCTGAAGAAGGAACTTCATAGCAGATAAGTATGTTAGCTTCTCTATTTAAATTTGTTCAGCAAAAATAAAGGCAGGGTGATAGGGAATAGCTGAAAGAAGTAGTTAACTTACATTTAATTTTTAGATCACTAACTCAATTTTAGAATTAGTCTTTCAATGATTTCATTTATGCCCACAATTCAACCTTAAGAGTATGTCTTTATAGCAAGCTTAAAAACTAACCCTTGATAGCTGACTATAGCACTGAAGCACCATAGTGGGTGAGGGGGGCAGGAGAGGGGTAAGAGCAAACAGGGGAGGGAGCACAATGGTCTGGGGTGGTGGAATATGGATGAGCAAATGACCAGTGCGCTGTGATGTTGAAATACCTGATGGGTACCCCAATAGTACCTCAGTTACAAATAATTAAAAGAGACTGTCTTTATAATAAAGCAAATTGCCACTAAGTTGGGGTCAGAAAATAAACTAGAATGAGTATTCATCTGACTGGAATTCTCTTAGAGTATGCTGACTAAAAACTTTCCGTTTTAACCTGCAGTTTTATATATGAGCTGATAAAATGAAGTGAAACCAAAATAGGTTTTTGACTTAGGGTCATACGTACCTACAGAATAGTTATTAATATTTTAGTAATTTTTAGGATTTTGACTCCCAAACATCTGATAAAATAATACTAGCTATTTTTTAAAGATATTTTTTGGGTATTCTTCTCCATTTAGTATCTCATTTAATCTCGACAGATTGGTACTGCATTTAACAGCAGAAGAGAGAGGCTTATTGTGTAATTTGCCTAAGGTAACTTGCTAGTTAGTGGCAAAGCAGGATTTCAGCTTCATTCTGTCTGTTACTATCACAATAGAATGTAGTAGTTGAGGATTCAGGAGATGCATTAAAAGAAATCGCTAAAACTTGTTGATCTTCAAAGTGTGGGTTTTTTTTTAAATAAACTAAATTGTGGTCAGTTGCGGGTTATGATTTGTTAGATCTCTACCATGAAAGTTTTGTTCAGTCATACATACTGCATATATATGTGTGTGTGTGTGTGTGTGTGTATACATATATACATATATATGTATACACACACATATACATATATGTATCTTGCTGTTTTTCTCAATGTTAAAACATTTAGAGTTGTTAATAGTGATGTTCCCCAAAGTGATTCTATTGAATAACAATGCATGGTGTTCTTTAAAATAAATGCTGTTCAGTGAAATAAATTCGAGAATATAATTAACATACAATAAACAGGCTCTTTTTCCCTTAGAATTTACCAGAATTTAATATGCCATTATTGGTTTATCTGTCTCTTTTTTTTTTTTTTTAAAGACAGGATTTAGTATTTTGAAAAGTAGCTTTGAGGCCTAATTTCTATGGAACCCATTTTGGGAAATATTGGTCTGTAATATTTATAGGGAAGTAGATTTATTTTTTTTATCTAAAGTGGTAATTGTGAGTAATTTAACAAAAAGTCAGACCTTCTCAATTTCTACTTCAAGGAACTTTATACTGCCCTGTTAATAACTTAAGCTAAACATAAAAATAGTCGAACCACACCATTTCTGTGTCCATATAGAGTTGCCCAATCAACTTGTAATTGTGTCACAGTGACAGCACTGATGCTATGTAGTAGACAGAGCCATAGATTAAGATGCCCACTTTTATTTTAGACTGTAATAAAATTGAGGGTTAGACAAGTTACTTAGCAAAACTGACTGTTCAAATCAAAGAAATGTTTTGATTAAATCTTTGATTCTTAGATTTCCTGTTGGGTATTTTTATTATGTACCATACTTTTCATGTTAACATAATAATATTTGATGCATGGTGTCTCTGGATTTCATCCTAAATAAATACTGCTTTTACATTTTTTAAAATTAGATACTCCTACGGCAAAGTTTCAGTGATTATTATCTACATGATGAATGCAAGAAGCAAAATTTCAGAGATCTGAAGCAGGTCTGAGATATGAACATGTAGAAATGAAAGAAAAGGTGAAAATCCTATGAATCATGACTTTTTCTTGAACTGAATTCTTGAACACATAAAATTTATCTTTGTACTAACTACAATGTTGTATGTTATCAAGTAGAGCTTTTGTCTTGGTTTACTGAACTTTGCACTTTTTCATTCCCTTCAGAAGTATATAGGTACTTCCAATGACTATATAAAAATGTATTTTAAATATATTTTTTATTTGTTACAAGTTGCCTCATTTCAAAATAGTGTAGGTCAGCTAAAAACGTTTTCTTTGCTTTCAAACTGTGAAATTATTTTTAGAAAATCCTTGGGCTTTATTTATTTTAGGGCCCTTAGAACTGTTAATAAATCCTCATTATTTGCTCATTTTTAAATTACCTTGAGATAATTTTGAAAAACAAGTAGAAATGAAGCTACTATAACATTATGGTTTACATTTAACTTTTAAAAGTACTTAATTTATATTGTTTGAATCATAACCTGTTTTTTAAAAGTTTTTATTCACTTACCAAAGTCAACAGATTGTCTGGTATTCTTTTATGTGTAAAGAAATTTTAAATGTAGATTTTTCTTTACCATAAAGTTATGCATTTATGGTGGAAACAGTGGTAGTTGCTGTAGTAGTCAATGTTGTTATTACCTTAACGTGATGCTGCTCCTGACTGCAGCTGACATAAGTCAGTAACACTTGTAAAAATAATCTTTTAGCTCTTACCATATTGCGTATTAGTAGTACATGCCTGTGCTGTCAAATGAGCACTATAAAATACTAATATAAAATGGTGTAGAAGACTGATGTATATATTAGATAGAAATTAATATTTTGTTTTTTGCAAAAGGACCACATGCAAAAGTGCTGCCAAACAGCTAGCAATAATGAATAATTTAAATATAACTTATTATTTCAAACTAATGTCTTAGAGAATGGAAAAACTACTGAAACACAACAAAATCAGAGTTTCACATGGAGAAAATCTGATAGAACGTAATGGAAATCCATTCAGTCAAAAAAGAATAGTTTATTAAAAATTCTGTAAAAATACTATACAAAATAAATCAATAAATGTATTATATTTCTATATTTATGTGAAAGATAAGCTCCTTATCTTCTTTTCTAATATATATTTAATGTAAATTGCACACACTCCAACTATTGCCTTGCTTTTGCATATGAAAATAGGAAATACTGACTTTGTTTTCTAAGTGATTAAATGTGAAATTTTGGTATTTTGCATTAGCCTATTTATAAAAGTAATGTTCTTTCCAAGAAAATGTTATTATTAGTATTGACTGTATTTGTTAGACTTTTTACATTCTTTTTCTGATATTTATTCCATTAATAAATACAGGATTCATAACTGAGAATTCCATAAAATATAGTAATTTAATTTCACTTGCTTTAAAGGTTGATTTAATTGGTTAACTAAATGAAAATGCCACCCACTTATGCACCAAGTCTGTTTTACCTCATACTGAATGTTCTCAATATTACAATTTGTTATCCAAAATAATTAAAAATATGGAATTTGCTTTGCCTTTGACTATAATTTATATCATCTTTCATACATGGAAAAGCAGCTATTTAGAATAGTCTCATAGATGTAGATAAAAGCTAAATTAATTCACTAAAGTTTTTATAAATCTGCCATTATACTAAGTGGGAATAAATAAAATTACCTGTACAATTAAAGTGGAAAGTAGTAAATTACAGCGATTCCCTACATATTATCACTCTTGAACTTTACCATCTATAAAATGATAGGTGAAAATATCTCACTAGATTTTTGTTTACATAATTGCTTTTAATTAGATGTTTTGAAAAATAGCAATGTACTATATACATGTATGCTGTTCTCAAACCTAATCTTTGGAAAGATGAAGCTATATATAAAATTTAGTATGCTCTGTGCAGAAAGTCTGCATGATAAAAGGTTTATGGCATTTGTTAGTATAATATTAGAAATGAACTCTACTGTTCTTATCATAAAATATAACTAAAAAAACCTCTCTGATATTCTTAAAATAAATATACTGACTCTTGAATCCAGAAGCTTAGTATTTTACTTTTATGTGTATCTGTGGACTAGCATCTTTGAAAAATGTCATCTCCAGCCTTTTGAAATCATTGCTGGTTACCAAATCTCCATATATCTTATAACCACGTCATACATACAATGAAATTAAATTCTTCAGCACTTCTTTAAGTAAGTCACAGAGCAATAAAGTCTCTCATAGTAACTAACTAATAGGAATTCAAACATTACAGTACTGTGGTCATGGGTATTGAAGAGATTTTTGAGAACTTTACATGCAACTTAATGGACGATCAGTTTTACATTACAGAACTGACTATATAAAATAGCTTAAAATAATTAAGCCAGAGTTACAGCATCCTCAAAGAATTGTTTTTTTTGTCTTTTAATTGGCAACATTTTTACCTTCTTAAATGTCTCACGAAATAATCATGTATCATGTGATCAATCATATCTTAAATTCTGTAAAAGACTATGATGAAAAATCAGAATAAAGCTATAATCTTCATTTTATCTTTATAATTTTCTTTAGATCAAAATCATTTTTGGCACACATCTTAGAAACTGAGTAATATACCTTGTAATTGTGACTATACATATAGTCAATTCTGTATGTACATATATAATGCTCAGAGAAAGTAAAAGCATATTGTAAAGGTTTTCTGGGAAAGATATATGCTGCCTGGTATTGTAAAGGAAAAGAACAAATGTTTGTAGGAAATAGAATAGAAAAAATAAGAAGGAAATGCAAAGAAATTTGAAGAGCATAAATTTCAAAAATTGGGGCTGAAGAAACAGTCTTTAGAAAAAATAATTTAAACAAATGAAAGTTAAATCCATAATGATAATACATCTTTTCACATGTCAGATTGAAAAAATATAAATGTTTTATAGTGTACAGTATTGATAAATGTATGGGGTGATATTTGTGAGCTGTAAATTTGGGTGCAACACCTTTGAAGGACAATAAAGAAGTATCTCAAAGTTTTGACTAGTATTTTACTTCCAGGATTTTAATATCCAGAGACATGTATTTATAACTTTGTGCACAGATAACCTATATATGAAAAAATAGTATACAATTGTGAAGAATGAAATCCATTTATCATGCTCATATTAGATGGTCTGCAGGATATTTTTATAGAGGCACAGCAAGGTACAGAACTTTGTATAATATACTCTGATTGGATTTAAAATACATTAAGTCAAAGAGCTCTATAGGGTTCAAATAAAAACCAGTATGCCTATCATATCTATCCTTATTTATGTTGCTCAGGAACAATTACTTTCAAGTCTTTTAATAGTCTATTTTAGCGCCTACCTTCATTTTTCAAGATAATATGCCTATATCTATTTCATACAGAGTTACGATTATCTTCTTACTGTGGAAGGTAAGGATTTGGCTTTCACATATACCCGCTTCACACAGACATACATTTCCCCTTCCTTGCATTTTCAGTACAGCTAGAGCATAATTTTCATTAAAGCAGCTGTCACATCATTCTTTTATATCCTCTCTCATACATTTTATTACTTTCCCATTAGTTAATTTTCTCGCTTTTGGTTTGCTTAATTTTTTGCATACCTCTTTCTCATTTACCAGTCATTAATTCCTCCCAGACTCATCTCTAGAACTAAATATAAATTTCTAATACATTCTAACACATCAGATACTGTGGACATTTTTTAAATTATAATTTTAGGAATGTTTCTTGCAGATCTCCAACTTACTGTTCTGTCTACAATGGTTGTTTTCTAGTTCTGCTGCAGGATGGCCATTCCAGGACCCCCTTTGCCATCTCTTAAAGGTTCTATTTAACTTTCCATCTCTAAGGTCTCTCTTTTCATGTTTTAGAGTGAAACATAATCATTATGTTCATATATCCGTGAAAGGCTGCATAATAAATAAGTGTTTGATTCTATCCTCATTTGGGGTAACAATTTGGAGATAGAAATCTAAAATACCATACCTTTACACATTGGTCCTTTTCAATATAAAAAGCTTATAGCATTCATTTCTGAAAAATATGTAATTATTTCTTTGAGAACTTCCTTCTTTTTTGTCTAGTTTTTCTAGATTTTCTATTATTCAGCTATTGAATCTCCTATGTTGCATCTATGCTTTTTCCTCTCCTTTCTTTGCATTTTTCTTATTTGTACAATTTTAAATAATTTAAAAAACTTATCTCCTATCCATTCTCTGGAGCTTTTTATTTATTCCATAACATTTAAAATTTTTATCTCTAGAACCCCTTTTGGTTTTCTCCTGATCTCATTTTTGTCTCCTTGTAGATTCAGTAACTTATTTACATTCTGATTATTAAATTTCAGATTTTTTTCCTTTGTTGCTTCATTCCTTTTTTTTTCTAGTTGTGTTCTCAATGCCTCACATTATTCAACTAACTGGCAATCGTTTGCTGTGCGTTCATATTTATAGACACATGGAAGCCCGGTGTACATTATGAGCTTTTGATGAGTTTCACTCACTGCTGAAACTCAGGCTGACTTTTATTTGGGTGGGCCTTGACTGTCCTTCTCTTCTCTTTGGCCAGATTTCTCCTGCCTGATCTTTCAAAGCATCACTGCTATTTTGTTCAGAGCTGACTATAGGAAGATCTTTCATACTTTTATCTTCCATGTGTTAGCCTCATCTTCAAGGTGCTATTCTCCATATGCATAGAATACCTCTGGTTTGACCTCTGAAGAGTTTTCTTCTGATAAAAGCATGTCTCTTGGGGAAGGGGTAATAAGAAGGCTGAGCTTCCTAACTAGAATTTCAGTCAATACTGTTTACAGTATAACCTTCAGAGATAATTGGATCTTTCAAATCCTAAACCTTTGGGTAACTGCAGTGGTGAATCTGCCTTTTCCCGTGTGTCTCGCTGTTGCAGGCATTTAAGTTCTGGTGGTATGGAAGTTAATTACCATCTGTTTTGAGGTTTAAAAATTTTGTGCCTGTACACTCTGTTCTAGTTCTCTTTTCCTGAGAAAGAATACTATGCTTTTCTGTCATTTAGTATAATTTTAGTATATTTTGTCGTTTTAGTATAATTTCAAGAGGGAGTGAAAAAAATGTATGTCTAAAACAACATATTTAATCTTCACACTTAGAATCTACTTAGAAGTGCTCATAAAGAACTTAATCATGGTTATCTTTGGAGGTAGGGGTCATCGATACATTCAGTGAAGGGGCTCCATAAGCTTTTAAATGTAGTGAGTTATTATTGAATTGTTTCGGTAATGTTGTTGTGTGTGTGTTAACTTTTTCAAGAAACACATTTTAAAAACTTAGGCTTTCAGCCTGGAAAAAGTGGAACTAAAGCATGAAGGTCATTTGTTTGATGATTTTATTCTCCAAATCCAGAGTTTGGTTAATTCTTAAGACTGGTTTCAAGAAAAATAAAAGTATTAATGGTGGTAGTGAATTAATAGAATTATCACATGATTTAAAGTTGGAAGGTAAAGATAAAAAAGATTAATTGATGAAGGGATATCAGTTACTGGGTTGAAAGAGTTAAAGATAGCAGTATACTCTCTTAATAAAGATAATCTGGTGATATTTACCCCTAAGAAACAAAGCACTATACCTGATTATTAATCTAATTCAGTACAGCATTTCCAGTTGTACATGTTCAAAGATGGAACAAACAGCTTTAAGTAAGGAGGATTAGTCTACTAGCAGATTTTAAACTGAGGTAAAATGAGAGTGTAGGGCAGAATGAAAGACAATTAATAAAGATATTTCCACCCTATTACATATAATGCTTTCCTCTTTGCAAGCTGTAGGTGCTATAAGAGTTAAAAGTTCAACCTGAAAAATCTACAAAAAACCACTCTGAAAATCTATACTTTTTTATGTCATTGCACTTTGGTGCTAAGAGGTTCTCAAGAAAGTGAGTATCTTATGTACCATTTGTGCTGTAATATTTAATTACAGTGAGTGTACAGAAGATTAGCTGTCTCAAAGATTCTTTTGAAATCAGATTGCACATCAAAACTGCTTTGTGCCTTAAGTAAGCAAATTTAAGAAAGAGGAGAAGGTGATGTCAAGACTTATTGCAAAATGAACAAATAAAGGAATAGGATTTGCTTGGTGTTTAGCCTATTAAAGCATAGCCAAATGTCAGCCTTCATTTGTCAACTTAAATATGTTTTTCTAAAATTTACAAAGATTCAGACTATGGAAAGTATCCTTTAGCCATTATTTGGACATGAGAAATAAATTATGCAACACAAAATGCTAAATAGATGGTTATTGATATGTCAGTTTCTCATAGTGAGTCATTACTCCATAAATATGTACATTAGTAATCCAGATGTAGACATTTGTTACCTTTTTATTATTTTTCTGTTTATAAAATTAATACATGTTTTTCTCCCTGTTTCTTGAGGTTCATAGCTTCTCTAAAGTAGCTGTGACTCCAAATACACCATACTTGGAACATTTCTATTCTTCAGGGATTTCTCCCTTTAAAAATTGAAAAGAAAGGTAAAAATAATT